GGGGTGAATATACCCTAGCCAAAGTTATCATGCCCATTCATATTATTTCTGATAATCATCATGACACATACGACCCTCCACATACACCAGCCAGAGTGAAGCGCGAAACCCCAGTAAAAGGCAGTTTTCACCCCCACATTTACATAGATGCCGTTGGGGTACCTAGGGGGGTGCCTAATGAATTTAAAGGCTGTAGGTTTTGAATCACTTTTTACCATAATCACTGCCAACAAAAACCTTAATTGGATTAACTACATTTATTACAACCAACAGCGTTTTGTCAACTACACCAGGGATGCCCTCCAGGGCCTGGCCGCGCAGTTGCAGGCCACATCCCAGATGACCTTCCAGAACAGAATGGCCTTAGACATGATTCTAGCTGAAAAGGGGGGTGTATGTAAAATACTACCTGACACCATGACTTGTTGCACTTATATCCCAGAAAACACAGGTCCAAATGGTAAAGTCACTATGGCCATAGCGAAGTTAGAGAAACTCTCAGAGGAGTTGAAGAGGAATTCTGGGGTAACAGATCCCTGGGAAAGGTGGTTTGGTTGGATGTCAGGTTGGCAGAAAGCTTTAGTCCATATTGGTATGGCTCTACTAATTTTCCTTTTTGTTCTCGCTCTTCTCGTTTGTTGTGTCCTCCCATGCCTTAGAAAATTCTTACAGAAGACTACAGACCAAGCGACACTAACTCTCACTCATCTGACAATCGATGATCAAGATCTCACCTCACCCTGTATTCCGCTACAAACTCTCCCTTATACTGATAAAGTGCAGAAGTTCTAGGAAGGGAACCAGTGAAGGGACAGCGTCTGTCTCTACAGGCGAGTCTCACGTGCGGAGATGTGGTGGACTAGCTGCTGCGGGTTACCCACGGAGTGAAGTGTTCGATGCTTGTTAAGACAGATGAGCTGCAGTCTGTTAGGGTCAGATAGGGGTAGACATGCACTTTGCACTAACACCAAGCTAGCGACCATGGGGTTTCTGTGTCTTTGTGCTAACAAGTCTTCTGGTATTAACAAATAAAGCTTATCTTTTAGTAACTAACATTTTAAGGGGGGACTGTTGTAGAATTATAGAATTCTTGAAATTATCTAAGCTAATGCTTTGGCAGGAAGAAATGTGCTGAATAATAAAATGTGTATTTACTAAAAGAACCTTGAAACTAAAAATACTAACTACTCAAAATGGCTGCCAAAGCACCCCTCCCATCGAGTGAACACCTCGTGCTAACAAGATGGCGCCTACATCTTGTGTCCACTCCCGTGTCAAGGATGACATCACCTCTTGATGGGAGGGCATCTAACTAACCACTTAACACCTGGACCAATCAGTAGTGTTTATTTGCTGTTATATTGAATTCTTCAGTGATGTAAAAAAGCCTTTATAAGGTTCTGCGCACCCATTTTCTGTTAGAAGCTATTAAACTTTTCCGAAGTTCTTTCATTAACCTGAAGCCTGTGTCTCAGTGTGAATTTACTTCTGCGTGCACGCAACTTTATTATCTTTAATTTGGACAGGAACAGATAGTCATTCAAACTAATTGGTTTGCAGAAAATAATCTACTACAATTCTAGCCCTTTAAATCAGCTCACTGACAAGGAATATTATCACATTAGACTACATCAACATTGTTCTTTCATTAACACTGAACATTTATATGATGAATTCTATAGTTTTAAAGCTTCCTGAATAATATGGATATACTTTTGGAGATCTTACATTGATAATTTCCTTGAAAATTTAAGATTATGCTAGCGCTAGTGCACTTATAATCTTAATTTTAATAATGACAGGAGGCGAGTATTTTGCATATAACTCTCTTTACTAACTCCACATAGCAGTAAAGAAAAGTGAAAACATTAACCAATCAAAAATGCAGTAGGAGGTATAATATTCACAGTGATGAGGCTCCTCCCCCTCTTTCGAAAGAGACATCAAAGACAAAATATTGAAAACGGAAAAAAGTCATGAAACATGCACCAACGGGTGACTTTCCAAATTCAAAGTCCTAGTGGCTGAAGGATGGCCCAAACGTGTCCATCCTGAGCATAAGATGTAATGTCCCGAAGTTATGCTTAAAAAGAACGTGGAGAAGGTTAGGTACCGATCTGGCAACTGTTTGCAGTAATGTAATAAACCCAACACACTTTCCACCGAACTGATGTAAAACTAGATGTAAAACTAGTATAAATATGACAGTAAACGATAACAGTGATCTAACTAAACAAGGTACAAGCCTGATTCATACAAGGTGAGTAGGAAAAAAGAGGAAGTAAGGAATACACAGAGTATAGGTATACTTACTTGGATCCTTATCCCTCAAGGGTGTGGAGGGTGGGAAAATACTCTGCTCCTGTCATTATTAAAATCAAGATTATAAGTACACTAGCGCTAGCATAATCTTCAATTTTACCACATGACAGGAGGCTTCATATTTTGCATTTTTAATGCTGATGCAGGAGAGACGTGGCTGCCCCCGAGTTCGGTCGGAAGTAGAAGGTCCGAAAGGTCGATTCTCTTGACCAATCTGCGGCTAGTAAGATGTCTGCCAGGGACGCGCCTGCGGTGAAAGCCGATGAAGCTGCCGCACTGCGGATGGAGTGGGCTCCGAAGGTTTCCTCCACACCCGCCTGGGACAGAATCCATCTTACCCATCTGGCAAGGGTGGTGGTAGAGACGGGAACATGTGGTCTAACATAGGACACCAAGAGTTGGCCCGAAGGGGAGACCCGCAATCGGGATGTGACCTCCACGTACCGATGTAGATACCACGCAGAGAAGCGGTTCTGTAGGAAAAAAGGGGTAGAAGACCGATGTGGAGTCGGATTTCGTACGGCGTGAAACTTGGAAGGTAACTCCCTCCGGGGAGACTGAAAAGGCAACGATGTCGAATGCTCGTACGTCCGAAACTCTGCGGAATGAGACCAAACAAAGTAGGAGCGTCAGTTTGGCTGATAGTTGTCGGAGCGAGAGTCTGTCGTTGTCTGGCCAGTCCCTCAGGAACTGTAGGACGATTTTGACGTCCCCTAGCCAGGAATATTTAGGTTTCGGAGGCCTCTGAAGTCTGATGCCCCTGAGGAAGCGGCATACCAATGGGTCTTTCCCGATGGGGATCCCATGGGCCGGAACGTGGGCCGCCGAAATTGCGGAGCGCACGACGTTGAGGGATCGATAAGATCGGCCCGTGGAGAAGAGATGAGAGAGAAAATTCATGATGGCTGTTATAGGTGCAGTAAAGGGATCGAAATTCCGCTCACTGCACCAAGTAGACCAGGAGCTCCATGCCGATAAGTAACATCGTCTGGTTCCTGGTGCCCATGAGTCCCATAGGAGAACTCGAGACGTTTACGATAACTCTTCAGTTTGCCAGGCTCCCCTGAAAGCGTCCAAGCCACCAGCGTGAGACGGTCTTCCAGGATGAGTGGGTGTTGGTTCCCTCTCGGGTCTGTAAGGAGCGTCGGATAGAACGGTATGAGGAGGGGATCCCTGTAGGATGACGCTAGAAGATCCGGAAACCATGGTTGACCCTGCCATAGGGGTGAGATGAGGAGCAGGGATACGCGTTGGGTCTTCAGGTACTGCATCGTCCTTGCTACCATGGCAAATGGGGGAAAGGGTGGCCAAGGGTGGCCAAGGTTGGAGAAACGCATCTACTGTCTTGCTCTCTGGGTCTGGGAGCCAGCTGAAGTACTCGTCTGTCTGACTGTTGTTGCGTGACGCAAAGAGGTCCAGGTGGTGGGGACCTCTCCTGACCGAAAGGCGTTGGAAGATCGCTGGGTCCAGTCTCCAGTCGCTGCTGTCCCGCCATTGGCGTGAAAACCAGTCCGCTGTCAGGTTCGTTTCTCCCGGGAGGTATTCTGCCATGAGGGAGATTTTTCGGGGTAGACAAAAGTCGAAAATTTCCTTCGTGATCTCTGAGAGGAGCCTGGATCGGGCTCCTCCCAGACGATTGATGTAGCGGACCGCTGAGATGTTGTCCATCCGGAGGAGGATGCAGCAGTCTGTCCGGTCTCTCGCTAAGCTGCGGATCACAAACGACCCCGCTAGGAGTTCTAGGCAGTTTATGTGAAGGTTGGTTTCTTGGGAAGTCCAAGTGCCTCCTGTCGATCTTCCCTCGCTTGTGGCGCCCCAGCCCCACAGGCTGGCGTCTGATTCCAGAACTATGTCGGGTGCATTCCCGAAGATGGCTCGGCCGTTCCAAGCTTCCATGCTGTCCAACCACCATCTGAGTTATTCCCTGACTTCTTCCGTTACCGGAATGTTTTGGTCGTAGGAAGGGTTCTGGCGGAGGAAGGAGGCCTTCAGGCGTTACATCGCCCTGTAGTGTAGTGGGCCCGGGAAGATTGCCTGTATAGATGCGGACAGTAGTCCCACGATCCGAGCCAGGCTGCGGAGTGGAATGGTGTTGCAGCGGATGACTCTGCGTAGTTCCTTTTTGATGGCTGTGATCTTTGAGATCGGAAGCCATAAAGTGCTGGGCTTGGAATCTATCTCGAAGCCCAGGAAATGTATCGTCTGGGCTGGGAGCATCTCCGATTTTTGGTAGTTCACCACGAAGCCTAGGGACGTCAGGAGTTGAATGGTATATTGTGTGTGTTGTGTTAGACTGTACCTGTCTGAGGAAAATAGTAGCAGGTCGTCCAGGTAGATAATGCACCAAATTCCTTGAGTTCGTAGTTGGATACTACCGGCTTGAGAAGTTTGGTGAAGCAACACGGTGCTGAGCTGAGGCCGAAGGGGAGGCATGTGAACTGCCTGGGTTGGTCTTGCCATAGGAATCTGAGAAATTGGCGGCAAGACGCATGGACGGGGACCGACAGGTAAGCGTCTTTGAGGTCCAGTCTCATAAACCAGTCCCTGTCTTGGAGTAGATCTCTCAGCAGGTGAATGCCTTCCATCTTGAAGTGCCTGTACGTTACAAAAGCGTTGAGTCCCTTCAAGTTTATAACCGGACGGAATTCTCCTGATTTCTTTTTTACTAGAAAAATGTTGCTGAAGAAGCCCTTTCCGTTGTGAGCTGATTCTATCGCTCCTTTCGCCTTGAGCTCCCGTAGTTCTCCGTCGATTAGGCGGCGGTCCTCCTCGAAGCATTGAATGGGATGCGGAGGAGCGAGCTGGTAAGGGGGTTCTACGAAGTCGATGACGTAACCCTGAACCGTCTGGAGGATCCATGCATCCATGGAGATGGTTGTCCAGTTCTGAAAAGACAGAGCAATACGGCCTGCAGTGTAAGGGGTAAGTGAAACTAGAGACACTAAATTGCTTACCTGTGGGGAAGCGTGCTCTGCCACGGTTACAAGGTCCTCTGCCTCGGTCTGCTCCTCGGGTATAGGAGAAGGGTTTCCTGAAGCCCACTTCTGGGTAGAAAGGCTGTGGGCTGGCTGCTCGGCCCCTGTAGCGGCCAGGCCGTCCAAAAACACCTTGACTGGAGTAGCCTCTGAAGACTCGTTTCATAGACGTCTGAGCCTTATTGAGGGATGTAAAGATGTTAACATGCTTGTTCAGCTCTTTTAAGAAAGGTTCTCCGAACAGTTTGCCCTGTGCCAACGGTCCCAACTCTTTGGTGCCCAAATCCACCAGTTTTCCGTCCATACGTAGTAAAGCTGCCTTGCGCCTCTCAGAGGAGAGGGCTACGTTGGTGTTACCAACAAAACAGAAGCACCGTTGTGCCCTTTCTCTAATATCATGTGCCCACTCTTTGATCATGCTAGAGTCGAATTGATCGCCCGCTTTCTCACCTTTCCAGTGACGTTTGGTGGGGCGTGAATCCGCCTGTACGTGTGACTCAGAGGCCTCAGAGTCTTCATCCTGAGGTTAGGCCAGCGTGGCTTTTTTAGTTTTGTCGGTAGATGCCGACATAACCCTGGACAGCGCTTACTCCATAGAGGCGGAGATGGCGTCTGCAATCATAGACTGGAAGTCCGCAGGGGTTTGGGATGCTTCCATAGTGATTTTGGTGTTGGCACAGGGCAGATGGGCTATGGGTCAGGTAGTAGAGTATGGATTCAGTAATAATAATAACAACACCCCAGCAGGATGTGTGGTAGCACAGGTACAAGAAGTACCAGAGACCCCAGCAGTGTAAATTGGGTTTTCTTGCTGGGCCTCACCCAGAAATGTATATGACAGTGAGGGTGGCACGAAATCCACTCAATCTGGTGTTAAGATGGGGTTGGGATGCCCCTTACCATATACATATATATAGGTGGCACAAAATCCACCTGATGGCAGCAGTGAAATAAGGGACTCACCCTGTTAGAATTGTAGGTGGCACAAAATCCACCCAGTAAATCAATAATAATAGTGGACTCACCACTCAATAGGGCCAGCAGCATCTGAATCCTTATAATAAAAAACGCCAGTGACCCCTGCCAGCTGTACTTCTTTGAAGGTTACAAGCCGTCAGCACAGAACAGTATAACACACCCCAGCCAGCCGGGATGTGTGTGGGTGTCTGGGAACGAGCGGGTTGCGGCGCCGGTCGGCACTGCGCAGCCCGCGGGACTCCCAAAATGGCGGCCGAGAATCTCGCAAGACGCGAGATCCAAGATGGCCGCCGGGGAGCCGGGAAAGAGGTTTCCCGGCGTGCCGGCGATCTAAAAAGCAGCTTCGGAGCCGCAAGGGAGTATTAGGAGCAGGGTGAGCGTTACCCTGAGGGAAATAGGCTGGGAGGCCAGCGGAAAAACGGGGGAAAACGAAGAGAGAAAAAGGGATCACAGAAAACCCCTAAGAAGAACGAGCAGAGACAAAATAGAATAAAAACACATAGTGAGACATAATAATAACTGAATAAAAACCCCCAGGACAGGAGGGAGAAGTCCCCTAAGAAAAAAATGGTATAAAGTAAAATAATATAACATATAATATAGGAATACAGTATATATAAAGGGAAGAGCCTGAAACTCTGACCTGTCTGCTGATGGAGCAGTAAAGAAAGAGGGGGAGGAGCCTCATCACTGTGAATATTATATCTCCTACTGCATTTTTGATTGGTTAATGCTTTCACTTTTCTTTACTGCTATGTGGAGTGAGTAAAGAGAGTTATATGCAAAATATGAAGCTTCCTGTCATGTGGTAAAATTATGTTTAAAGGCAGAGGATCTCAGCAATATGCATTCCTATAAGCACTGCTTTCTGTGTACAGAGTGTGTCCTCTTTATTCATTTTAAAAAGTGTAGATCTTAGTGGAAATTGGGACTTTTATAAATTAACCTTGTTACATTCTCCTGGTTTTCAATCAGACAGCTAATCTCGATACTTCCTGGTAGTTCAGCCTAGAGGAGCTAAACTCAAGAGAAAGGAATTATACAGAGCACCTGCTTCACAAAGACATCTCATTGAGCTACTTTGGGAAGTCAGTGATTGGTCAGCCACAAATGGGTTTGAAAGGTTCCAGAAGCAGATGGTCTCTTATTTCTGTCTAGAGCAGTGATAAACTAATTTGCTTATTTATCAAGGTTGTTGGCTTCTGCTTAATGGTGACATTACTATATTTATATCGCAGAATGTCTGTTACCTTTATATCCACCATGATATGTTACAGGCTCCAAGCTCTCTTAGGAAAACATTGTAAATTAGATAAATCCTCTCTTAAAATTGAATGTTTTACACAAGTAAAAATAAATGTTTTATGATGTAGAGAATGGCTGTGGATGGGCCTCCGGGGATCTTCTTCAGAAAAAATGATCATCTAACAAAATGGAGGAGGATGGAAAATTAACAAGTATTCCCATTTTTACAAACGTAATATTTGTTTGTGATTGTTAGCCATGAAATAACCAAAATAGTAGGAAAAATAACATAACTAGAATTTATGAATATAAAAGAAGCAAATATTAATACAACTATCAGTGCACAGACAACTGTCTATGTGATTAGTTACATGGTTAAATAGTCTGTAAAATACATCACTTTATACAAAAAAGAATGCATAATGTAATGCAATGTAGTATTGTTCTACTTGAGATATTTCCTCACTGCGTTCTTAATATCTTTGTTCCTTAAACAGTAAATAATTGGATTGAAAAGTGGTGTTCCCACTGTATATAAGAGCGAAATAGTCCTATTGACGTCAAATGAAGAATTATTAGATGGGGCCATGTATATTGTTATTAGAGTTCCATAGTATATACTCACTACAATCAAGTGAGAGCTGCAGGTGGAGAAAGATTTCAGTTTCCCACTGCTGGTGGAAATTCTGGAGATCGTTATGAAAATAGAGGTATATGTGTAAAAGATGAAAGACAAGGGGAGAATTACAAGTGGTATCGTTAATACAATATCTGTCAATTTAACAATGGTGGAATCTGAACAAGACAATTGCAGAAGAGGAATAAAATCACAGAAATAATGGTCAATTATGTGAGGTCCACAGAACACTAGTTGATGTATTAGAGAAGCAATGAGTATTGACACTGTACATGATAAAATCCAAGACCAAACGGCCAAATGGAGACAAAGCCAGATATCCATGATGGAAGTGTAATGTAATGGTTTGCATATAGCGAGATATCGGTCGTAGGACATCACTGTAAGGAAAAGGGTCTCTGCGGCAGATGATAGACAGTGAAAATAAAACTGTGTAATGCAGCCAGTAAGAGATATTGTGCTTTCTACATGTAAAATAACACGGAGCATATTAGGAGTTATATTGGTAGTGACCAAGATATCGGATGCGGATAAGTGACTAAGGAAGAAATACATGGGAGATTTCAGAATCGGGACTGTTGCCACCAGTGAGATGATAAGAAAATTTAAAGCTACTGTAAAAAAGTAGATAACAAGAATTGCAATAAATAATATAGTGTTAAAAAGTGGAGGGTTCTGAAATCCCAAAAGTATGAATTCTGTCACCATTGTCTGGTTTATTTCCATGATCATCTACAAACAAAAAGAATAAAGAAAAAACTGTTTTAACATTATAATTTAAGTCTGTATTAACATTTCTTAGTGCTTTAATAAAAAAAAGCATGTGATATCTTAATGGATAAAAGTTTCCCTCTCTCAAAAATGTGAACAAATATAATTACTCAATAAATTGTAAATTGTAGTTAATTAAATCTGAATGGCAAAATTATACTGGAAAGTAATGCTTATTTAACGTAATAATATAGCAGAATATTTTTTTGAAACAGATGATTAATAGTCAACACATTGTGTGTTGACTTGAGAAACTATTCAACTGAAACTGAGATTTGTTTTAGTTTAGATAAGGTGGATGGCTGGGTGCATTTATGTTGTTTACCTGGAGATGAAAAGGCAGCAGGATGCACTGTGGGAAGAAGGCTGGTGGAGGAGGTCTTATGCTCTTGGCAACGTTCTGCTGGTAAACTTTGGGTCCTGGCATTCATATGGATGTTGCGTTGACATGTATCACCAAACTAGATATTGCTGCGTAGAATGTACACTCATTTGTGGCAATGCTCTTCCTTTTTGGCCTTGGTCTCTTTCAGCAGGTTAATGCACACTGCCACTATGCAAAAAATGTTCAGGAATGCTTTGAGGAACATGACAAAGAGTCCAAGGTGTTGCCTTGGCTTCCAGATCTTAATCTAACTGAGCAAACTGATCTATGGCGGTCTGACCTTGCAACCTGCAGGAGTTAAAGGACTGCTGCTAATGTCTTGGTGCCAGATACCACAGCACAAATTCAGAGTTGCTGTGGAGTCCATTCCTCTACTCATCAGTTCTGTTTTGGCAGCACGAGAAGCACCTACACAGTATTAGGAAGGTAACATTAATGTTGTGGCTGACCAGTATTATTCACATAAATCTAAAGTGAACAATATATGTATTTAACCCTTTCATTGCCATCAGTGGACTTGTTTTCATGGTTGTTTTTTTTTTATAATTGTTAAGCATTGTTACTATCAACAGCCAATACATAATATAGCTTTTAATAAACAAAATGTTTTTGCGGTTCAGTCCTACACTACTTACTTGTACACCACTGCATTCCAATGGTAACAACACATACAAAAACACCTCTACATATACAAACGCTACACAAAAACATGCTTACATTCAAATGCACAAACACTGTTCACAAATACAACCCTGCAAGGATGGCCAAATGGTAGATCCCCAGCTGACATAGCATTATGGGAGTTAAATGAAAAATGGGGCTCTATCATTTCTCCACTCATGCGCTAGAGGGGGACCTAAAACATTTTTCTTGCACCAGGGTCCTTTCTGCATAAGTGCCTTAGTTCTGCCACTGAGCTGGTTTGGAGGGCATTATTGCATGCCAGAGAGTGTGGGGCGAGGGCAAGGTCCACAGGGCCCTGAAAAAATATATGAAAACCGCTTGTAAAAGCTGCAGTTCTCTTGTCTGCAGCCTTTTCAAGCCTTCCCCTTATAAATCCAACCAAACTTGTGGACATGTGGTTCTTCAATCATATAATTTTAAATGCAGCTCAATGAGAAGTCTTTGCCATTGCAATTGCCTGCCTCTTGAGAATAGTTTCTCTAAACTAAACTACCTGGAAGTAACAGGACCAGTTGTCTGACTGACAGCCAAGAGGATGTAACAAGGTTCATTTATAAAAGTGCCAATTTCTACTATCTGCATTTTATAAAAAAATAAAACAAGAGAACACGCTCTTCCCACATAAAGCACATTAGCAATTTTTGACAATCTTTATTTTTAGTTTTTCTGTTAGTAAATATTAAGCAGTGAAATTTGCATAACATTATAAATGTGACATATTGTACAAGGAAAGTCTGGCATTGTTTGAAGAAGACAATAATCAATCGTACAAAGTCAACAAAGTTGCATGAACAAAGTTGGGTCCATCATGTACTCTCTATTTGGATACAATCAGTAAAAAGATTCATCCCTATCGAGACAATAACCCATAATGACTGAGTGAGAGGACTTCTGACTTCAGTGACCATTAATGGTTATAGATGTCTCCAGTGCATGTACTGCCTCTGCACTTGTTTCCCATTAAGCCATTTTCCATTTCTCTTCATTCCGCTCCTCCCCAACTGTCATTATTTAATGTGCGATACATTCCCCTTTCCTTTTTTATTTTTTGTTCTCCCACCCCACTTTTTATGTTCTTTATTTTTTCCAATTTTCCTCTTTTCTCTGACTGCATGGTACTTCAGTTTTTTAATTCTGTCCACACAGTAAATATTGGATGTTGCTCAGTGATTTCAAGGACCACACATTCTGATGAACTAGGACTGGGTACAGATTCCAGGGTGATCTAATCTAATATTATGTGAAATAATCTTTAATCTAGACACTTACATAGATAAACACTGAACATCTATTATAATATCAAAATGTTATATAAATATATATTTATATTGTTATTAAGTACTTTGTTTCTGTGCTATTGTTTATGTGCAGCAGTTTCTGTGTTTTTAAGATTGCTGCTGCTAAGTCTGAAGATTGCCAGGATCGCTGTTGCTGTTTTTGAATTTAACATTTACAATTATCTACTGTCAACTCACAATAATGAATAGATATTAAGAAAAAAAAATACAAAACAAACTTTGATTCTGACATTTGTTTCAATTTCCATATAATTTTCAAATAAATACCAATGGTGAAAATTTGATGAACTTACCATTTATTGAAGTGGATCAATTAATAATAATACATCAAAGCTGTTGTTTTTTTTTAATTTCTTTTTTTTTTTTGTATTAAGATCTCACAGGTTTCATGAACCCAGAGCAGCTTTATAACAATGTGCCAATATGTCCAACATAGACTTTATACCCTCTGTAAGCTAGGTATTATGTCATTTTGCTTTGGGACAAAGGGGACTGGTATTGTACAGAGAGACAGGATGGACCCTTGTGTACATGAAAATAAAGATACTGAATGTTATCTTCACTTTTAAGTAATTTGCTACATAATTAATGACTAAATGAAGCACTGTTTACCCATAATATATTAGTTTTATTGATAATATATTATTTTATCCATTGCACTTTATGAGTGCCCTTAACCCCTTAAGGACACATGACATGTGTGACATGTCACGATTCCCTTTTATTCCAGAAGTTTGGTCCATGAGGGGTTAATGGGACACTATAGTCACCTGAACAACTTTAGCTTAATGAAGCAGTTTTGGTGTATAGAACATGCCCCTGTAGCCTCACTGCTCAATCCTCTGCCATTTAGGAGTTAAATTCCTATGTTTATGAACCCTAGTCACACCTCCCTGCATGTGACTTGCACAGCCTTCCATACACACTTCCTGTAAAGAGAGCCCTATTTAGGCTTTCTTTATTGCAAGTTCTGTTTAATTAAGATTTTCTTATCCCCTGCTATGTTAATAACTTGCTAGACCCTGCAAGAGCCTCCTGTATGTGATTAAAGTTCAATTTAGACATTGAGAGTAAATTACATCTGTTTGAAAGTGAAATCAGTTATTTTTTTCATGCAGGCTCTGTCAATCATAGCCAGGGGAGGTGTGGCTAGGGCTGCATAAACAGAAACATAGAAACATAGAAACATAGAATGTGAAGGCAGATAAGAACCATTCGGCCCATCTAGTCTGCCCAATTTTCTAAATACTTTCATTAGTCCCTAGTCTTATCTTATAGTTAGGATAGCCTTATGCCTATTCCACGCATGCTTAAACTCCTTTACTGTGTTAACCTCTACCACTTCAGCTAGAAGGCTATTCCATGCATCCACTACCCTCTCAGTAAAGTAATACTTCCTGATATTATTTTTAACCCCTTAAGGACGGAGCCAAATGTACACATTGTGAACAAAACAAAATGTAAACAAAACCTGGCATTTGCGCTACATGTCTGTCCAACCGTAATACACCTTCTATAGTAAATGCACCCACCCTTATTATATATCATTTTATTCAGGGGAAACAGGGCTTTCATTTAATATCAAATATTTAGCTATGAAACATAATTTAATATGAAAAAAATGGGAGAAAATACGATTTTTTTGATGATTTTTTTAGTTCTAAATTGCATTTTAAAGGTCAGTGTCATAATACTGTTTGATTTTACTGCAATAAAATACACATATTTGTATTTAGTAAAGTCTCACGTGTAAGACAGTACCCCCTATGTACAGGTTTTATGGCGTTTTGGGAAGTTACAGGGTCAAATATAGCACGTTACATTTGAAATTGAAATTCGCCAGATTGGTTACGTTGCCTTTGGGACTTTATAGTAGCCCAGGAATGAAATTTACACCCATAATGGCATACCATTTGCAATAGTAGACAACCCAAGGTATTGCAAATGGGGTATGTCCAGTCTTTTTTAGTAGCCATTTGGTCACAAACACTGGCCAAAGTTAGCGTTAGTATTTGTTTGTGTGTGAAAAATGCAAAAAACGCCAATTTTGGCCAGTGTTTGTCACTAAGTGGCTACTAAAAAAGACTGGACATACCCTGTTTTCAATACCTTGGGTTGTCTACTATTGCAAATGGTATGCCATCATAGGGGTAATTTTCATTCTTGGGCTACCATAGGGTCTCAAAGGCAACGTAACCAATCTGGCTAATTTTAATGTGAAAAAATGAAACACAAGCCTTATATTTGACGCTGTAACTTTTGAAAACACCATAAAACCTGTACATGAGGGGTACTGTTGTACTCGGGAGACTTCGCTGAACACAAATATTTGTGTTTCAAAACAGTAAAAAGTATCACAGCAATAATATTGTCCGTGTAATGCTGTTTGTGCGTGAAAAATGCAAAAAACTTCACTTTTACTGGCGATATCATCGTTGTAATACATTTTACTGTTTTGAAACACTAATATTTGTGTTCAGCGAAGTCTCCCGAGTAGAACAGTACCCCCCATGTACAGGTTTTATGGTGTCTCAGAAAGTTATAGGGTTAAATATAGTGCTAGCAAATTAAATTCCCTTTACTTTCGGCATGGGTTGTCAGGCAGGTCCTGCTAATTGTAATTAATTAAGATACCTAATTATGTAAAAATATTACATAAACATATATGTAGAATTAATATATGTATATATATATATACGTATGTGTATATATATGTATATATCTATATAATTTTTTTAAAATATTTTTATTTATATATAGGTATATATATAGTGATATATACGTATATATTTATGTAAAAAGAACTCTTAATCCTTGCACACTGACCAAACAGTAATAATATCCGGGTGCTTGTAATCCAGGGTAAATGGAGATATAAATAGGCAGAAAATGGCCAGCACTCACGGTTTCAGGTAAAAGTTAAAATTCAGAAATTTATTAGAACATCTTTAAAAATGTAGCAGCTCATTTTTAAAGATGTTCTAATAAATTTCTGAATTTTAACTTTTACCTGAAACCGTGAGTGCTGGCCATTTTCTGCCTATTTATATATTTATGTATATAGATATATATATTATTTCGTTCTACGTGTATTTTGATATATATATATATATATATATATTAATTTCACAAAACAGTTAGAACGAAATAACACACATCTATATATTTTTTAATTATTTATTTTTAATTATTTTTTTAATTTTATTTTTTAACGTATTTACATTTTTATTTTTTTTATATTATATATAAATATATATATAGCAATAATTATATATATATTTAATCAGTATCAGTCTACGTGTAATTTGATATTAATATATATATATAATTATATATATATTAATAGTAAAATACACCTAGACGGTGTATGTGTGTGTATGTATATGTGTATATATACTTAGATCATATATATATAATATATATATATGATCTAAGTATATATAATAATTTTTTTTTACACCATTAACTTATTTTACTTTTATTTTCAGCCAGCAGGGGGACCACCTGTCATTACAGGCAGCCCCCCTGCCGGCAATACAGAAGCCAGCTATACCCAGCCATGTGATTGTGGGGTCCTCGCTAGGACCCCACTCTCACATGGCCGGGGGGCTTCAACGAGGACGGATGTGCCGCGGGGGGCTCCCTGGGAGTCCCCCCAACCGCGATCGCCGGCGTGGGACCACCGGCGACCGGGTAAGTTAACAAAAACCGGAGGGCGTACAATTACGCCCGGCGGCGTTTAGAGCCGCCTATTAGAGGGCGTAATTGTACGTCCTCCGGTTTTAAGGGGTTAAACCTTTGTCCCTCTAATTTAAGACTATGTCCTCTTGTTGTGGTAGTTTTTCTTCTTTTAAATATAGTCTCCTCCTTTACTGTGTTGATTCCCTTTATATATTTAAATGTTCCTATCATATCCCCCCTGTCTCGTCTTTCCTCCAAACTATACATGTTAAGATCCTTTAACCTTTCCTGGTAAGTTTTATCCCGCAATCCATGAACCAGTTCAGTAGCCCTTCTCTGAACCCTCTCTAAGGTATCAATATCCTTCTGAAGATACGGTCTCCAGTACTGTGTACAATACTCAAGTGAGGTCTCACCAGTGTTCTGTACAATGGCATGAGCACTTCCCTCTTTCTACTGCTAATACCTCTCCCTATACAACCAAGCATTCTGCTGGCATTTCCTGCTGCTCTATTACATTGTCTGCCTACCTTTAAGTCATCAGAAATAATCACCCCTAAATCCCTTTCCTCATATGTTGGGGTTAGAACTCTATCAAATATTCTGTACTCTGCCCTTGGGTTTTTACGTCCAAGATGCATTATCTTGCACTTATCCACATTAAATGTCAGTTGCCACAATTCTGACCATTTTTCTAGTTTACCTAAATCATTTGCCATTTGGCTTATCCCTCCAGGAACATCAACCCTGTTACATATCTTAGTATCATCAGCAAAAAGACATACCTTACCATCAAGACCTTCTGCAGTATCACTAATAAAAATATTAAAGAGAATGGGTCCAAGTACAGATCCCTGAGGTACCCCACTGGTGACAAGTCCAAGCTTCGAATATATTCCATTGACTACAACCCTCTGTTGCCTGTCACTCAGCCACTGCCTTACCCATTCAACAATATTGGAATCCAAACTTAAGATTGCAGTTTATTGATAAGCCTTCTATGTGCAACAGTGTCAAAAGCCTTACTGAAATCTAGGTAAGCAATGTCTACTGCACCACCCTGATCTATAATTTTAGTTACCCATTCAAAAAAATCAATAAGATTAGTTTGGCATGATCTCCCTGAAGTAAATCCATGTTGTCTCTGATCTTGAAATCCATGTGTTTTAGATGTTCAACAATCCTATCCTTTAACATGGTTTCCATCACTTTCCCCACTACTGAAGTAAGGCTTACTGACCTATAGTTGCCCGACTCCTCCCTATTACCTTTCTTGTAAATGGGCACAATATTCGCTAACTTCCAATCTTCTGGGACTACTCCTGTTAACAATGATTGGTTAAATAAATCTGTTAATCGTTTTGCTAGTACACCACTAAGCTCTTTTAATAGCTTTGGGTGTATTCCATCAGGTCCCATTGACTTATTTGTCTTTACTTTTGACAATTGAAATAGAACCTCTTCCTCTGTAAACTCACGTGTAATAAATGACTCATTTATCCTTTTTCTCAACTGAGGTCCCTTTCCTTCATTTTCTTCTGTAAATACAGAAACAAAGTAATTTAACTCCTAAAGTGCATTGAGCAGTGAAATTGCAGGGGAATGATCTATACACTAAAACTGCTTTATTTAGCTATAGTAATTTAGGTGGCTACAGTGTTCCTTTAAGATAATAATTTTAAGAATACTTATCCAAATTATGACTGTCTTTCAATAAGTACAAAAGCATGTAAAATAAAATATATAAAACACAACATAGTGCAGATCAGCTTTGATAATAACTTCATAAGTAGCTTAAATCTGTGGTGAGACTAATGTAGAGAGGATACTGGTGCAAGAATTGCTGGGGGAACCCCTTATACTAATGCTGGCCAAATTGTAGATCTCCATTTGTTGTACAACTTCAACAATGCTTTGCCAGCTGGGGATCTACAATTTTCCATCCTTGCAGAGTTGTATTTAGCACTGAGCAGTGTTTGTGTGTTTGAATGTAAGCAAGTTTTTGTATTGAGCATGTGTGTGTGTGTGTGTGACAAAACCCCTATTTTGCTTTCGCCAGAGTCATTCTCCTACTCAGTTCCGACATTTCCTTAATATTTTATTCCTCCTTTCTGATACCGTTCAAAGAGACTAAGTAACGAACACCAACCACCCCCCTGGTTCATTAAGTTCAAACAAACCACAAGAATTTAGTGCTCTCTTTGTGTGACCACCGTTCATATAACCGAACGCCACGTGGTGGAGAAAA